CCTCTAAGTTCGTTTTCTGTTTATTATTTTTGTTGTTTATTCATTTGTTTTGTTTTGTTTTAATTTTTTTTTATCCTCACCCGAGGACATTTTTCCATTTTTTGTTCAGATAGAGCGGGAGGGAGAGAGGAAGAGAGAGAGAGAGAAACATCAATGTGAAAGGGACACATCGAGTGGCTGCCACCGCAGGACCAACCAGGGCCGGGGACAAACTGCAACCGAGGTACATGCCCTTAGCGGGAACCGAACCCGGGTCTCTCTGGACCGCAGGCCGACGCTCCAACCACTGAGCCAAACCGGCCAGGGCCATTTGTTTTGTTTTTTGTTTTATATTCCACATGAGTGAAACCATACGATTTCTGTCATTTTTCATCTGACTTATTTCACTTAGCATAACATATGGTCCGTCCATGTAGTCACAAATGATAGGATTTCAAACATGCTTTTAATTAAAGTCAACTAATGTTACCACATCTACAAAATACCTTCATAGCAATACCTAGATTAGTGTTTGGTTAAATAATTGGGTACTGCAGCGTAGCCAGGTTGACACAAAGCTGTCACACTTTTAACTTGCTCTGAGTCCTAGTTCCGAGATAAAACACCTAACCTTCTCCTGGAGACGTGACTGCTACAAGATGCCGTCCCACTTACTGAGAGGCCATTTCTCTGTCTGTGAGTGGGGGGTGTAGGGAGGGAGAAATTTAAAGTTTTAAATTTTATCTTTTGAAAAGCTCTAGTCTCCCAAGAAACATTAAGAAATGACCAACCTGAATGAGAATCTGGTCTCTGGTTAAACTTCTGTCATCCACAGTATCTCTTTTCCTTCAAAAGGAGAAATTAGCCCTGGCCAGTTTGGCTCAGCATTAGAGTGTCAGCCTGCGGACCAATGAGTCGCGGGTTCAGTTCCAGCCAAGGGCACGTACCTCGGTTGCGGTTTGTCCCAAGCCCTGTTGGGGTCATGTGGGAGGCAGCCACTCAATTGATGTGTCCCTTTCACAGTGATGTTTCTCTCTCTCTCTCTCTCTCTCTCTCTCTTTCTCTCTCTCTTCCTCTCTATCCCTCCCACTCTATCCGAACAAAAATGGAAAATGTCCTCTGGTGAGAATAAAAAAAAAGAGCAGAAATTCACCCGAATGATATTTCAGCAACAGGGCCCCCAACAGTGGGTGATTTGAGTCTTCCTTCATTGAACATCAAAAGTGTATGTAAGCACCTCTATCTGCCGAAGTGCTCACTCCAGCCCTGCAGGGACCTTGTTATGCTCTGTGACATGAATTTTGCATGCACTCCACTCAGGCCTTTGGCTCTCCTGATCCAGCTGCCACTAAACTGAGCATGCAGTTGGGAAAAAAAAGTGTACATCAGGAAAAGAAAAAAGAATTACTTTCCCTAAATTATCAATTCTTCTCCCCCTTTCACATAGAAATAAAGCCTTTAAATTATTCATGCTGGATCAATCAAAACTCTTGGTGCCAAACATGTGCTAATTCTCCAAACTGATTGATCTGCCCCCTTCGGAGTTCCCTTTCCTCATTACCACCCCAAATTAAGGTACATTTAATAGGCTTCCAAGATAATTGGGTGCTTTCAGCTCGTACTTCTAAAACTCATAAATATCTTTTTCAAATAGTGCTATAAAAGTACTTTGGAAGAGTAATTAAGGACTAAAAAATAAAATGCTGGGAGCCAGAAGGAAAAAGATCAATGGAAGTGCTCTAATTTGAGGACCCCGTCCCTCGGAGCAGAAAGCACTCAGCTTCCCCAAAGTCCAGCTCTCCGCCGTCTGGAAATGCACGTGCTGCCTCCTCGCCTAAATCGAGGCTCTTGAGAACACAGAGAACGGCTTCTACTTCTTAACCAGCACGATGCTGGGCGCTCCGGGGACTGAAGAGGACAGGCCTGACCAGACAGGAGAGCCAGAATTCCTCCCTGGACCAAGAAGCAGACACACGGAATTCTCTCCTTTAAATTTCAGGGCCTAATCTAGAATCTTGGAGAGTGCTGATGTGGTAGGCTGCCCTCGGGCCTGTCGACTCTACCATGTTGCTACTGCTTCAAAGGATAAGCTATTGTTTTATTCAGAGCATCAATACAGTATAGCCTAGCAACAAACAAGGACTTTCTTCTTGTCCTTGAAAGACCACATATGAATAACTAAGGCAACTCATGCCGCCGTAAGGTTTGGCCATTCGTGCAACAAGAATATAATGAACACTCGTTACACTGAATTTGAGATGTGCCTGGCAGTCTTTTCTGAGTTCAAAGTGCTTAATCTCATTAGCTATCAGATGCCATGTCTAATCCAATGTTCAGACTTGTGTCTGCTGTGTAATTGGGTTCAATGCGTATATTTAACAATAAAGCAGGTAGTGGCCCCATAGAGAAGTTAGATGTCCTTGAAGAAGCCATTAACCAACTTGGAGCTAGAGGGCAGGGAACCAAACCTCATACATTTCTAATGATAGGCTGGGAAACGAACCAGAGCTAAACCCAACCAAACTTCTGGACACACACCCGTGTCGCATTCAGCAAGTGCTCTCACGCTCTACCGAACCGACACAACAGGATCCGATTCACCTGCTCATTCATTTGATGAGCACTTGTTTATCGACCACCTAGTGTGTCCTAGTTGTCCTAGACACTTGTTGGGACAACTGATGTCAACGATCAGCCTTGTCCCTGCCCTCAGGGAGCCCAGTGTCCAAATGACTCTGATGAAAGACTAGAGATCAACCTATTTCATTTGAAAATATAATTGGCATACTTTTTATTTCCTAGAATCCCAAATTATCATCATTATTTACTTATTCGTTCCAGAAACTGAGTCCTAGTTCTATTCTTCAGCCCCGTCCACCATATTTTGGTCCCTATCCCGTATGTTCCTGGGGCCCTCCCAGCCTCGAGCATCAGCTGCTAAAGACGGGGAAGGTGGAGGAAAAGGGGAACTGCAATCGCTGGGGGCCTCCTACATGCCAGCCCTTGTGCTACGTGAAAACTGAAGCAACGCACTGAGTCCTCCCAACAACGCTCAGAGTAGGTGTTCCTCTGTTTCTTCCTGCAGGCGAGGGGACTGAGGCCGACTGAGAAGTGAGAGTGGTCAGCAGCAGATTAGCTTCCAGACTGGAGTTACTGACCCCAGAGGTCATGCTCGGCAAGGTTCCTCATCAGCACCTTGGGTGTGAGAGGCTGTGGGTCAGATAATAGTCTCCACCCTCTGACATCCTACATGTTTAGTCATTTACCAGCTGCGTGGTCTCAGGGACTGTACCTAATGGCTCTGAGCCTAAGATTCAATTCCATCCTACCTAACAGTATTTCTAGGAGGAGGAGGACGTGCCTGGCACATGACAGACCCTAAAAATAAGTGTTAGTGACAATGACCATGGTAATGACTATCTCACTAAGATCAGAAGAAAGAAAATAACCATTTGGACTTGTACTGTCTCTTCCTACAGACAGCTGTAAATGCCCACTAACAACAGCAACCTTGACAGAGACACTCCAGTGCCCCAGGATGACTCTGGTTTGCAAAGGTTCAGATGATTTTTGCTTTGCAGGTAAAATTTTTTAAGAGCTATTTCCTTTATAAATGCATTCGGTGCTGGTTTGCTCAAACATGTCTTCGGAGAACACTGTGAAAGCTTAAGTTTAAGAAACCAGGGAGCACGGCGGGCAGGATGATCAGCATAGTGTTCCACGTTTCCCGCAAGCAGAACCTGGTTTATAAGTATCCTGTGACCCTGGAGAAAAGAAGGTGTTATCCTTCTGCAATCCACTGAGCCAAGCATTTGGCTAATCAAGGAAGTGATTTGAGAGGAAGTAAAGGACCCGAATCCAGTTTAAAAGATATGTTACCTCTACAACATTTCAGAGTAATTATTATTTATTGAGACATCCCGCCGGTGCCATGACTGTGTAATTCTATGTTCTACTGAGGGCTCAGGAAATGACTGGGGTTTAATGCCGTTTAAACAAGCCACAACAATTTCCCATCCAGCATGTCCACCCCCATCTGTCCTTTCTCCAGGCATCTTAAACTATTTCTTGAGTATAGCCAAACAGCACACTCCCGGGAGGAAGACAGAGGGAGCACCACAGGGAACTGGACACTAGTTTAAAGATCACACAAGTGCTCAGAATTACAGGAAATGACAGCAGTGGAATCCATGTCTCCCAACCAGAGGTCTGGGCTCAGCCCACTGAGCACGAAAGATGCTCAGGTCACGCAAATCCACAGCACCCAAGCACTCTGGGAACTAGTATGTGACAGTGCCATGCTGAGAGGATGGGACGGAACACCCAGAACTGGGGGACATGGCTGCAGGTGAGGCCTTGGGCAACGGGGAGGGGAGGGCAAGGCAGGAAAGGACGGTATGAACTAACCCACATGGTGAACAGCTTCAGGGTTACTGAGGTGTCCCTGCTGCCCTCCTAGTGACATCGCCCAGACGTCTAGGAAATCGCACTTGGACATTTTGAAGGTGAGATGGTGGCTGCTCTCCCCCTGCTTCCTCAACATGTGTTCTGTGCCTCCCAGGGTGGGCATGAAGGTTCCTTTCCCCCATGTTAGTATTTATGCAACTACTCGACATTCAACTGTTTCTGGTTGACTGGGAATGTAACCCGCAACCCTGGCATATCGGGATGATGTTCTACCCAACTGAGCTACCAGCCAGGGCCTGACAGTCAGACCTAATTCCATGAAGAACAAAAGTAACACCCCACTGAATTACTAATAATCACATCTACAGTAAGTTTGAGTAGGTTTTTTCAGACGTCATACCTTTGATTGGCATATTACTACCCGTTATTTTAAAACATAATTATTCCTTTGGCTTCAAAGAAGGATGCCTCGAGTTTAAGGTCACCTGTCAGATGTAATTTAGTAACAAGCTACTGGCCCCCCTCACTCTATTTCCCCTCTGACACTAGCCCTTTGCCAGTCCTAACGCCTCCCACCCAGCTCAGAGCATGGGCAAGGGTGAGACCACACCCACCTTTGTCCAAACATCAGCGTTGATTTGGTCTCAGCTTCATTGAAGACAGAAGGAGAACAGCAAATAACAATAGTAGTTCTGCAGTTCCCACCCAGAGAGTCCTGAAGAATCCGAGTCATCTTGCTGTCCCGATACGGCACGTGTGTTTTCTATGTAGGAAGAGAAACAGTACTGGCTCTTACAGCCCATTCAAAGAAAAATCACAGAGGTAAGCAAGTCAGTGATAAAGACACAGGGCTTAGGACACAGGAGAAATAAGCATGCCTGGTCCTTGGACCTTGCCCAAGTTTCGCATGCCCATTCTGGGACCTGGGTCACAGGACATAAGCATCACCATTCACACATTTTGATGGATTAGATCTCCCAGCAGGCAAGGTGCCCACAATCAAGATTCCCTCCGTCCCTTTCCAAACAAACACAAGCAAATCTCCGGAGTGTGTGGCAAAGAGCACATGGACCAAAAAGGCAACTTCTCATAATATAATTTAATAGATGGGAACAGGATCACTTACTGTCCCTTCTGCCAAGGCAGAGATCACGTTTCCAAGAGCAGACAAAGACTTATTGATATTTTTAGCTTCGTCGAGAACAGCTCCCTCGGCCCCAGTTTTGCTGACCTACGAGAGAGAGAGCAGTGAGCGGCCCAGGACAGCAAAGCACAGCAGAAAATCCCAGCGCACGGAGGGCAGCGCGGGTGAGGCCGAGTCCGCCTGGAAAGCAAGGGAAAATAAGAGTAAGTGAGGATCACGTGGACAAAACCTTCCCTCGTGCCCGAGGCTGGGGATTTGCTCTTCCTTGTTGTCATTTTCCTCTCCATTAGGTCCAGGGAATGGCTGGAAGGCCCCGGTGGGGGAGCAGCAGACGCTTCCCCGGGAACACCCCTCCAGGAAAAGCAGCTCTAAAATGCTGTCAGCGTGAAAAGGCCAGCCGGGGAGACCCAGCCGCGTCTCCAGTCCAGAGGCGGCGCAGGGGGGCTTGAGGAGAAAGCGCATCTGGGCGCAGTGGATGGACACGCTGGGAAACCACGGGCTCCGACTTCAGGCAAAGGAGGGGGCGCTGCGCATGGCGGCCCAGACTCTGCTCCTTCCTCGCTGACACACAGCAAGGGGAAAAGGCACAATTACCCAAAAGGGAAAAAAAAAACACAAAAAAAACTTTTATTTCTTAGTCATTAACACTTAGCTTTAATTCAAATTAATAACTTAGATGAAGAACTAAAAAAGAGTTTAAAATCACCTTCTGAAAAATCACATTTACAGAAAAAAATTAAAACAGGCCAGCAGGCCCTGGTCAATGTGGCTCAGTGATGGGAGCATCGGCCTTTGCACCAAAGGGTCTGGGGTTCGAGTCCCAGTCAGGGCACGTGTAGGAGGCAACTAACCGATGTGTCTCTCTCACATCAATGTCTCTCTCTCTCTCCCTCCCTTCAACTCTCTAAAAATGAATGGAAAAAATATCCTTGAATTAGGATTAACAACAAAAAAGTTAAAAAAAAAAAAAAAAGCCAACAGAGTCCAAAAAGGTGCAGCTTATATTATTTCCACTAGGATGAAGTTTACTCTTCAGGGTCACACAAGGCTTAGACCACACAGGCCAGGAAGAGGAGACAGGGAGGATGAGCCCCAGGCAGTCTTTATCCTGGATTCCAGGGGCCTCAGAAATAATCAGCATTTTCAAAACACTCAACTAGAGCTCTTTAGAAAAATGGCTGCTGTGTCTTGGGCATTTATTTTCAGGTTAGGTATGAAAAGTCAAGAAAATGCATAGTCCATGGAGACTCTGTCTGTCCCTCTGCAGCCAGAGGGAGCGCGCGGTTCCCCCTCCGCTGCGCTATTACGGGTAATGTCGTATTTATAGCACTTGCTGTCGGGAGAGAGTTTACAGATGCTGGAGGAAAGGGGAACCAACATGATTCATAGCCTGCTGACTGGGCGAGCCACGCAGAGGCAGCAGCTGCTGTCTGAAGAAAGAAAAGTGGGGAAATAACGTTCAACTGCACAAAGACGGACTTCAATTATGTATAAAGGAGAAACTCCTAACAACAGAGATGAATGCATGTCCAGGGAAGACTTTTTTTCCAAATCGGATAGATTCTCATTTCTCTGGGAATTGTGTCTGTGCCTAACCCATGATTACGGATAGAAACTAATACAGCTGATGGGCCACAAATAATAAGTCTATTCACATGGCGTTAAGATGTTTTCATATTGGAGTGTCTTAACTCCATGAAATATGCAAGACAGGTACGATCCCCTTCCTTGTGCAGACAAGGAAAATTTAAGTTCCAGAGCCGTCAAGCTGCCAGCCTAAGGGAAAAACACCGTTTACAGGAATCGGGGACGAAAGCCCAGAGTTGTGTTCTACTCAATCATACTGACACATTCATGGAGACGCATCTGGGGCAAAGAAAAACAGACGCGAGCAAGAGAAACGGTGTGGGACCACAGTGTTAAAATGCCTCATAAATATCATAAGCAAACACCACCGACCCTGTGCAGAGGACGGGCTACCCCGCTGAACTGCCGGCATCCGCACGTTCGGCCCTCCGCACTCAGCCCGTGCTCTGCAGGGAAAGAGGGCAAGCGTGGGAAGGGCGAGGGGCCGGGCTCCCCATCTGGCCCGTCCAGTCGGTGTGTCCAGCCGGTGGCAGCACAGTGGGTCCTGGTTGCCAGGGGTTGGTCTAGAACTAAGTGGTGTTGCTCACACTCCTGTTCTGCTGGGTGTCTGTTTAAAGTTACTGACCGTGCCAGTAAAATTTTAGATTTCCAACAAGGAATATCCTGATGACTTTCCGCTCACGGCTTTACAACTGGGTACAGGAGAACAACCCAAGTAGCCATTACTTACAGGGATAGCAGTGGCCGTGATGTGGTGTCCAGCAACTCAGTCGTGGGCTGCTGGGATCAATGACAGTTCAGGAGACTGACTGAGCTTCAGGACTAGCCCTGGTGGGGACAGTCAGCAAGATGTCAGTGAGGATGGACAGGCCACACGGTATTGCGCACAAGGACTTGCTCTGTGATGTCGCCCAAGGACAGCAGAGTCCCCAAGCCAGGGTGTGGCAGCAGGCGCGTCTGGTGGTGCCATGGAAGTGAGGCTGGAGGGGCAGGTGGAAGGTTCTGGGAAGCCTGTTTGGTCTGGGGTACTGCCTCAGCCGGTGCCTGGGGGAGCATGGGGCAGGATACAGATGCCTGACGAAGCCAGAGAAGGGCTGGGCTCGTGGCGAAAGCACTGGCTACAGGCCTCGTAGCCTGAAGGAAGAAGGGAGGCTGCCCACTAAGACACAGTCTCCATGCTACCGCAGAGAGAGGCCGGCAAGGCGGGGCAGCCCCGGGTTCCAGACCTTCCATCAGCAAACACACCTGCAGAGGCAGGACTGCCACGTTCCAGTGCAATGCCCTTTCCTGGTCTATGTGGGTCTGGAACTCGGGCCCCTCCCAGTGGTCAGGAGTGCATCTCCCTCCCGCGTCTGGGAGGCTGCCTTTGCCAGGCTAGGTTCACACCAACACTTGCCTGATGTCATCATTAGGCAGGAATCAGAGCGGGCAGTCAAAGTGCCCCCTGGGATGTCAATAGAGGATGTTAGGACCAGAAAAGGCAGAGCAGGGAAGCAAAGGTTAAATTTAATAACATCTTGGCACAACATCAGAAACTTTAAAAGCTCTTTAAAACCAGGAAATAGAAAGGCATAAAAATTATAACATTGCACAGCGAAGCAAATAACAGGGGGACATTATAGCGAATACAAATAAAGAACCAATTACCTTTTCGCTCCCAGCCAAATCCACTAGATAAAGCTTCCCACTGAGTTTTTTTTCAGTCTCTACATTCTCTTGTTTAATATTAATCAGGAAGATACTGTGACTTCTAGAGCTGTGTTCATTCATGTCTGAAAAGGAAAACAGTTACTGTTCTACAAAGAACACATACATTTAGGTAGCAAGCCTCTCATCTAAAAAACAACACATCATGCCAATTTTTAAAATGATCCGAGACTACCATTTCTTCTTAAAAACACTACTCATTCTAGAAATGAAAGATTTTAAATATCTTTAAATGGCAAAGAAATTCATCTAAAATCTTAGCCGATGGTTTAAGATAACAGACTCTCTACTTCTGCCTAAAGAAGAGCCATCCTCCCGCACCCACACTAGCTGCCTCTGTCCTGCAAGACCTCACACTTCCTTCCCTGCCTCACCTTAAGTCCCTTAGCCTTTAGCATCATGACTGGTGTCTGACGTACTCCCTGTGTGTACTGCTGCCTTATCAGTAATATCATAAACTTTCTTCAGGAAGTACTATGGATTAAGACATACACCTCTTCTATAACCCATGCTAGGTGCATAGAAGGTCTCAAAGATTAAATATGCTTCATTAGGACTGAGTACGGAAATTAAAATCTTTTTGGACCCTGTTCTTTATTCACCAGGCAGGTAAAGACCCCAGTGACTGTCTTATTCAACCCCCACTAACAATCATTTCTTAAAACCATCTTACCATATTATATGAAAAAACAAAAACAAAAAAAAACCCTGAAGATCACACACACACAAATTCAGCAAAGTAGCAGGATACAAAGGCAAGACATAAAAGTTGCATTTCTACATACTAACAATGAACATTCCAAAAAAATTGTTTTAAACATTTCTGTTTAAAACAGCAATTTAAAAAGGTACTTAGGAATAAACTAACCAAGGAAGCTTGTATACTGAAAACTACAAAATGTTGCTAAAAGAAATTAAAGACACATGAATAAATGAAAAAACATTCATGATCATGGATTAGATGACTTACTATTAAGCTGTCAATACTATCAACAGTGATCTACAGATACAATGTAATTTCCTTTTTTTTTTTTATCCTCACCCGAGGATATTTTTCCAGTTTTTTACAGATAGAGTGGGAGGGAGAGAGAGGAAGGGAGAGAGAGAGAGAAACATCGACGTGAAGGGACACATCGAGTGGCTGCCACCCGCACGACCAACCAGGGCCGGGGACAAACTGCAACCGAAGTACGTGCCCTTAGCGGGAACCGAACCCGGGTCTCTCCGGACCGCAGGCCGACGCTCTAACCGCTGAGCCAAACTGGCCAGGGCTACAATGTAATTTCTATCAAAATCTCAGTGATGCTTTTTATAGAAATAGAAATCCATCCTAATTCATATGGAATCTCAAGGTACCCCAAACAGCCAAAACAATCTTGAGAAGAAACAAAGTTGGAGGTCTCACACCTACTAATTTCAAAACTTACTACAAAACTACAGTAATCAAAACAGTGTGGTGTTGGTATAAAGACAAGATATATAAACCAATCGAATATAACAGCCCAGAAATAAACCCTCAAGTAATACAGTCAAATATTTTTCAACAAGAGTGTCAAGACTATTCTATGGGAAAAGGACACTCTTTTTACCAAATGGTGCTGAGAAAATTGGACATACACATGCAAAAAAAGAAATAAAGTTGGACTCTTACCTTAGGTCACACAAAAATTAAGTCAAAAAGGATCAAAGACCCAACCATAAAAGCTAAAACTATAAAACCTTAGGAAAAAACATAGAGGGAAAGCTTTATGACATTTAATAGGCAATGATTTCTTGGATATGACAACAAAAACATAAGCAAGAAAAGAAAAAATAAATTAGATTTCATCAAAATTAAAAACTTTTATGCATCAAAGAACACTATCAACAGAGTAGAAAGGCAACCCACAGAATGAGAGAAAATATTTGCAAATCATATATCTGATAATGGATTGATATCCACTATATATATATATATATCCCTTATCAGATATCTATATACACACACACACACATAACAACAAAACGAACAATGCAATTAAGAAATAGACAGAGGACTTGAATAGACATTTCTCCAAACATGTACAAATGGCCAATAACATGAAAAGATGCTCAACATCACTAATCACAGGGAATTACAAATCAAAACAAAAATAAGTGTTAGCAAGGATGTTGAGATATTAACTTTTGTGCTCTGTTGGTGTAAATGCAAATGGTACAGCTGCTATAGAAACAATACGGCAGTTTCTTTAAAAATTCAAAGTAGAATTTCCATATGATTCAGCAATTCCACTTCCGGGTATATACCCCAAAGAACTGAAAGCAGAAACCTGGACATAATTCGCATATGCATGTTCATAGCAGCACCATTCACGAGAGCCAAAAGATGGAAGAAACACAAGTGTCCAGCCATGGATGAATGGATAAACAAAATGTGGTATATGCATGCAATGGAATATTATTCAACCTTAAAAAGAAATTCTAACACATACTATAAGATGGATGAATCTTGAAGACATTTTGCTAAGTGAAACAAGCACGTCACAAGGAATCTGTATCATTCCACTTATATAAGAGGTACATAGAGTTGTCAAATTTATTGAGACAGCAAGTAGAATGTTGACCAACAGGGTTTAGGAGGAGAGAGTACGGGGAGTTATTATTCAATAGGTGTATGAGTTTCAAAATTCTGTAAACAGTGGTGATGGTTGCACAACATTGTGGATGTGCTTAATGCCACTAAATTATACATTTAAAATGGTTAAAATAGTAAAATTTATGTTATGTGTATTTTACCACAATAATTTTTAAAACCACCTTACCAGAATGATAAGAAAAACAGTAACATTCTGGACCAAAAGTTCTGAACCAAGTGGCCAAGATGGCTGGTCAGTTATACCATGAATAATTCATGACCAACAGCTTAAAAAACCAAGTGAATAATTTCTTTATAAAGGAGAGATTCTATTACTACAAGAATGAGTCTCACGTTCTTTCAGGCATGTGTTTGTGTGAGTGTTTAAGCAGGAGAGAAAGGAGGAGAGTTTAACCTACACTGTACACAACTCTAGGCTCACCTATGAGACTTGCCCCATCTGTGAATTTCATCTGATCCATTTGTTGTGGTTGAGAATAGGTTGAGAATCACAGAACCTTGGCTGGGAGAGACCTAAAGAAGCTAGATCAGTCAGCCAACCAATACTAGACTCTCTTCTACAACATACGGGGAACTCTCTGTTCTCCAGGCGGCAGGCTCTAACCAGGGCAGGGTTAGGGAGTTTTGTGGTAGGTCCAAAATTGCCTCCCTGCAGCTTCAACCATCCTGGGTGGTCTACCCATTCAGATAAAACAAAGCAAGCTGACTTTTCCTAATGTCAGCACCCTGAACATGTTAAGGAACTCTGCATTGTCCACATGTCCCTCCCCCCAACCCAGAGTTATTTCTCTCTTCCAGGCTTGAAAGCATTCGCTTTTTCAGCTCCTCTGTGTCACTCTCATGTATCCATATCCTTCTGGGTAAGACAGACAGCCCCCATTTTTCACGGAACCTCTGCCATTCAAACACCATATGACCTGCTTCCCTGAGATGTGTGCACACGCGTGGAAGGAACCGAAAAGTAACCAAGGTGGCCTGAATGTGTTAGTAACGCAGCATCAGAAAGTTTTCAATAATGCTCCCAACTCCACTTTCTGACTTCCTCCTTCGTTTTCCCTTTATACGGAGGACAGAACTCTAATATGGTTTCTTTCCATGTGTATGATTGTAGAATTTGTCAGTTTAGATTTTTTTAAAAAATAACTGAACAATAACATGGTTAAAATAAGTAAACTCAGAAGCTTGCTTGTTCCCCGCTTTGGTTAGTAGGTTGGTTTGTTGGTTGGATGTTTTCCCCGGGATTCTGGCTCCAGCGAGTCCCACCCAGCAGTTCCGAGACTCCCCTGGACAGCAGGAGGCGCTGTTCCCCACGACCTGCCTAGGAACACTGCACATCCCGAGTGTGTCTGACTCACTGCTTTCAGCAGCCTTCCCCTGAATTATTTCATGTGGACCTCATTACCCAGCCCCCCTGGTGGGCAGGCAGACATTTGTATCCAAAGTTAGAGGGAGGAAACACCACCCCATGCTTACTTGTTACAGCCACGTGTCGGTTTGCTTTGCCTTCATCTATCACATCCATGACTTCCTCAGGGCTGGACACAAACCGCTCGGTGCACCCCTGCGGGAGAGCCAGTTCGGGTTTGCCATTAAAAAATTGAACAGCAACAATACTTTGAAACAGCTAAATATATTCCCGTTTCTCCTCTGGATGTGCAGATCAAGAGAAAGGCTGCAATGTTGATCCAACAACTTTCCGCCCTTGCCGAAGGCTTGAATTCTACATTAAAAAGAAGGCGAGCAACCCCTAGGAAACCCGAAAATAAATCAGAAAAGAAATGCTCAATTTCCCTAGATTTTTTAGTACATTTCAAACTCAGCAGCAGCAGAGAAAGCAATAAAGAAGAAAAACAAAGACAGAAAAAGAAATAGATGAAGTTTTGCTTTGTCTCCCATCTTTGTTTATTACCACCTAGCCACCAACTTTAGACACTTTAAAATGCTAGACATAGGCTTCCCCTAAAAACAAAGTATAAATGATTATACTCAATACCAAAGCCCCTTCAAATGTGAATAACACATGTCCGTTCACTTCTACAGTTCTCAGCATGGGATTAGACATCTGTGATAAATTCACACAGAGAGATATGATTAAAGAAATTAGATGTCTATTTTTTTTAACCAGGTGAATTTTAAATATAAGGAACATGATTAAATATCTGTATGTGTTTTATATGCATAATATTCTGGGCATCTTATGTCCTAATTATTATGACACTGACTGGAGAGAAATTAATTGCATCATCAATCAAGTTTTTCTCATACCTTTACATACGGGACTCTGTTTTTATCTTCATGAACAGCCAAGTTTGTCTTGGACACTATAGATAATAAAGATGACATGCAAAGAAGAAAAGTTAAAGACCCTGTATTAGAGGAAAAATAGAAACTGTTATAAAAGATAGACAAATCTAATCTCTTTGCAATTTACAAGAAGTGTAAGCCTTGTTGCAAATAAGCAGATAGCCTGAAGGCAAGAGAACATCTCTGCACACTTTCATTAATCCCTTACGCAGAAATGCTCTACATCAGTCCCACCTCCCTGGGCTTTAGTTACAGAACAAATAAAGGACAGCATTCAGGTTACTTACCATCGAGTAAATCCCTGATTTTGTCCAAGTAGATTTCAAAATAGGAAACCTGTTAAAAGCAAACTAAGTCTGAGACAGAAATGCACACTACATTACAAAAGGCTTCCATGCATTAGCCTGAGTGAGAAGGGGTGCGGAGTGAAGATACAGAGCTCCAGCATCCGGAGCGCCAGCCCACCCCCCCATATCCCCTGCTTCCTGCTTCATCGACTTGCTCTGGGTCCCAGCTTGGCGTGGGCCACTCTCCATCCCGCTCATCACAGCTCCCTATGGTTCGACTCAGGTGTTATTTACATCATGTGCTAGACAGCCACTTACAGAGGACTCTAGCTTTTACCTTAGATGAGCACCAAGCAAACTTCTGGCATGACAACAGGTGGAATAGAAAACGTTCTCTGCAGGTCATTGTCAAAAATCAGTAGGCCTTCCCTTATGCGTGATACTGACAGCCTCATCGGACCAGGGTGGGAGCATGGCCCAAACATTCAAGGAAGTGAGGAGGGGCAAAGACAGCTTGCTTAGAACTACAAGAACTCCGAAAAGTAACTGGGAGAAAAAGCATGAAGAATCTAGGAAGGATTTGAACAAAATGTGACTTAATAAAAGACTGTAAGAGGGAAAGAAGCCTTCCAATTGTTCTCAAACCTCAGCTCCGGCACCACCTACATGAGCTTCCCCCAGGGCATTTGTTTAAACTGCAGAGCCCTGAACCCGACTGCTGCCCTCCTGGACCCAAGTTTCCAAGAATACGGCCTAGGTATGTATCGGCTTCTAGACTCCTCAGGTGATTCATACGTCGGCTAACATCTGAGAACAACCTGAACAAGATGCAATCTTGACAATTTAGTTCACATGTAACCAGGATCCTAGGCCTCAATTGTCCCGTCTATTAAATGAAGCTAATAGACTTGATGACGTCCAAAAGTCCCTCTAGGATTTTCCATTCTGCCTACATTTGCCTTCTGCCTCCCAGATCAAATGTTCTCTCCTATGCTCATGGGCGGTTTTGGAAATCTAAACAAAATGGACAAAAAGTTATTTAAAAAAATAAAATTGAAAAAATAGTTGTAAAGTAGGGATGGTCTCTACAGGTGAAACTTCGACCCCACAGCCCAGCTCTGGACCAGTCTCGCCTCCAGTCAGGGCGGCAAGCAGACTCTGTAACCTGGCAGTGGTCTAACCCAGTTCGGCCCTGGTTCATCACCATCTGTCTGCATCTCAGCCTGGAACCTCCTGAATGCCTCATGCTTCTGAGATCTGGGGTCCTGGCTTCGAACCCTGAAATCTGTTCTGGGCATCCTCTCCAGGTTGTCTGTCTCCCTAACAACCTCTGCCGGCTCAAATGTCTGGCAAACTCCCCTGTCACTGAGCCTTGTCTGCCGTGGATACACCTACCTGACCTGGGAAAGACCCACTGCTCCTGTTCCTGGATCCCACGGGGCCATTCGGCCTCTAATCTTAGATGTCTCTGCCCAAGCCAGCCCTTCCCGCAGCTAACTGAACCCTGGTTCCAACCCATTCTATGTATTCCAGAACTGTCCAGTTTGTATTTTTTTTTTTTTTTTTTTTTTTTATCCTCACCCGAGGATATTTTTCCATTTTTTGTACAGATAGAGTGGGAGGGAGAGAGAGGAAGGGAGAGAGAGAGAGAGAAACATCGACGTGAAGGGACACATCGAGTGGCTGCCACCCACACGACCAACCAGGGCCGGGGACAAACTGCAACCAAAGTACGTGCCCTTAGCGGGAACCGAACCCGGGTCTCTCCGGACCGCAGGCCGACGCTCTAACCGCTGAACCAAACCGGCCAGGGCCAGTTTATATTTTTGATATCTTAAACATGTGCCCTTACTTCCATAGATTTTAGAGAAAATTAATATCTAAAAAGCACTATACTAGATACTAGCAAATCTGGCACTTAGAATTCTATCCACATTTAATGTAAGGAGAAAGAGAATTCTGATGTATCCATTTCTTTTTACCATAGCAGATACTGGCTGTTTGGGGCTATTTCTGTCACTTCAAATACTTTGTGAGACCAGGTAAAAGAAAAATAAATTGGCATTGCTTGGCTTTAAGAAAAAGCATACTCAGAAATGTTTAAAACCACTGTGGGACCTGCTTTAAGGAACCAGTTTTCGATATTGCCTTAATCAAGCCTCTTTTTCTTGATTAGGCCTGTCACTGCTCAGTTCAAAATGCGCAGTAGTCAATAGCTAACCTGCCCACTTAACGAATATTATTTGTGAAATAAGTAAGCATGCCTACAGACGCAGAACGGGAACCTGGGCAGTAGAATTCAGCCCTAGAGACTTTCCTGTTGGTTCTCCTCTCCTCCCACTTCATGCCAGGGCTATTTTTATCTTAACAAGATTCTAATAGGAGACCCATTCTGAGGGCAGTAATTGGTTTAACATCTTATTCCAGGATTATCCTGTAAGAACCCTAAAGCAGTCTGAGGTATTCAAATGCAAACAGCATTACAGCTGCCCTAAGCTCCTGAATCTTGATCCCATCAAAGCAACAAGCTTCGTGTGCTCAGGTACAGAGGCCGGCAAGAAGCTGCTTTAGGCGACAAAGGGACTGCAAGGGAAGAGATCTGCCGGCAGCAGTTCGTAACTGGGCGAAGTGATCGCCTTGTTTTTATATAATTTAGGAGAGGTACTTAGCAGAAATAAGAAGGGTAGACGTTTAATATAATGAAAGAGGTACTACATGTGGGGCTGGTCAAATCAAGAGCTTAATCTCGACTCTGCCGACGATTCGATGTAACGCGGGGCATCTGGATCTGGACCTTCGAGCCTCCCTTTCCTCACCTCTGAAATGCTGGGCCCAGTGGACTAAGGTTCCAGCCTTCAAGGATGATCAGCCTCTTGACTGACCTGCTCGGCTCCACATCTCTTAGAGCTGCCCTTTATCCTCCCCACTCCCTGTCTACCCTGTCCCAGTCACCAGGGTCGGGGCCAGTCAGCCACCGGCATCCTGGACACAGCTCATCGGAGCTGGGGGATCACCTACTGCAGGCTGGGCCAGGGAGCCTGCTTCCAGGGTACTGGGAATTTGCAAGAAGGCAGTGTGGACCAGGAGCTGCCTGATGCACCTCCCACCTCCCACCACCAGGGGAGAGAGAGAGAGAGAAGGGAGGAAGGGAGGGAGGGAGGGAGGGAGGGAGGGAGGAAGGAAGGAAGGAAGGAAGGAAGGAAGGAAGGAAGGAAGGAAGGAAGGAAGGAAGGAAGGAAGGAAGGAAGGAAGGAAGGAAGGAAGGAAGGAAAAGAAAGAGAAAAAGAGAGCAAGAAGGCAGAAACACAGGGACTGTGATGGGTATGGAGTTTCTTTTGGGGGTGATGAAAATGTTCCGGAATTAGATAGTGATCATGGTTACACAATTTTGGGAAGACACTAAAAACCATCAAATTGTATACTTTAAAGGGGTGAATTTTATGGTATATGAATTATAACTCAAATTGTTTAAGTTAAAAAGAAAAGGCAGGTTATGTTGTCCATTACCCCTCTCCCCCAAGCCTGCTATCAGATCCTCTAAGAACAACTTCCTCTGTTTGCTGAAACAAGTAGCTTTCAGTCATTTGCAAACAAAGAAGTTCCAATGAATATACCCAAATATCAAACATTATGAATTTAAGCAAAAACATAGGTCTGGGTCTCTCTCTCACGCACACAAACACACACACACACACTCACACAAAACAAGGAGGAAGAGAATTCCCTTCCCCAATATTTATCACAGAATGCTCCTCAAAACACTAGTCTGTCATACTCCAAGGGAGGAAAAATATGTCCAGTCAAGCTGGGAAATGCAATACCCTCCATGTCCCCTTTGCAGAATCACATTACGCAATAGCACATAAGTTTAACGTTGTGCGACAAAGCGTGTTTCCAGCTTATTTAGCCACATATCTCCCCTGGTAAGCCACCTATCAGTAACACGAGGGACTGTGTTCCACGGAACACACTTTGTAGACCCATTCCAGTCCTATCTACAGAAATCCACAGGGAAAAGGGCAGAAGTCGGACAGCCATCAAGGTGACTCCATCCAAAAGAGGGCATTTACCTTATCTCGATATCTCAACACGCTGTCCAGATAGCTAAGCATTACCTCAACCATTAAATAAAAATACGGCTCTGCGTCCCAAAGGAGCGTCATTTCAGTTAGATAAGATCAACTTTTTCATGTGTACAAAATAAGAGGAAAGCTAGAAAACATAATTTGGGGCCCTGCTTCTTGAGTCTCAATCACTGACACTTACCTTGATGTGAAATTCTAGGTTTTCATCCATGGAATAGATGTGGTCGAAGATGTCGTGTGCGATCCTGGGGATGATCCCCATGAGTTGAGGGTCATGCAGCTTCCCCTGGGGGGTGAAAAACACAAACACGGGTGCTAAAGAGTGCTGGGAAACACGAGACAGGGAAGACACCGCAGCTGGGCTTCTTAACCAGAACTCTGTGGAACGGGACAGGGACACTTGGACAGACTGTCTGCTTCCTTGCAGACCTACCTGACATGCCAACAGACCAAAGTTGGCCGAACGGCTGCACGCGGAGTCTTATCTCCCAGCAGGGAAGAGCTTATTCTGTGAGGCTGTGAAGCCCCACAGTGCCCCTTCCTGCTGCCACTCAGATCAGTGTGCACGTGAGTCCGTGGGTAGGAAGGAGGAAGAGAAGGACGGAGAAGGCTGAGAATATATGGGTGATGATAACATATGAAATTCGGGTTTTGTATCTGCAGTTTTACAACCTGACCAGAACCTATTATCTGAGTCTGATAGGGATAGTTTCATTAATGTCATCATTGCGCAAAAATTCCTAAGAACCTCGTCAGGGAATGCCCTCGTTATCACTTCACAAGCCAATGAAGAAAATCCGTTTTATCAATTTATTTTTTAAATCTGTAATTCCCAGCCGGAATTGTTCCAAGTAATGTTTGGCTGTTTCTAATACTTAAATCCAAATGTAAAATATTCTCTTATCCTTTTTAACCCTTTTTTAATAATTCTACTCATTTCACCTAAGGGGTAGAGGAACAGATGGATCTTTCTGCTATGTGGACTAGCACTAAATTCATTTTAAAGATCCAGATCTGAAAGCAACTCCTAAAGAACAGTCTTAAGTATTTAAAGCAACAGCCTTGCCCAGCTGGTGTGGCTCAGTGGTTGAGCGTCGACCCATGCACCAAGAGGTCGCCGGTTCGATTCCCAGTCAGGGCACATGCCCAGGTTGTGGGCCCGATCCCCAGTGGGGGGCATGCAGGAGGCGGCCAATGAATGTTCTCTCTCATGGATGTTTATATCTCTCTCTCCCTCTCCCTTCCTCTCTCTAACATCAATAAAGAAAAAAATAAAAATAAAGCAACAGACTTAGCATGGACGTGGGTAAACAACTCCCAGAGAGTTTCATTGGTTGACTGATTGATTTTTAATCATCAGCCTAGGATATTTTTATTGATTTGAGAGAGAAAGAAAGAGAAGAAAACATCTATGTGAGAAAGAAACATTGACCAGCTGCCCCCCGTTCACACCTCAACTGGGCATTGACCCAGCATCCTAAGTAAGTGCCCTGACCAGGAATTGAACCCACACACTGAGCCACCCAGCTGTGGCCCAGAGAGATTTTTATGTCCACACTCAAATGAACGCCTGCGTTCTCTTACATGTTCCTCAGGCCATCAGTGCACAGCCTGCTCTCAAGTGATCACTGGCAACTACAGTCCCAGAGACCTTTTCCAGATCTTTCGAAAGTTGTGAAACTCTAAGAACAAATGGACCTAGATGACAAGCACAAACCCCAGGGTGCGCTTGAGTTTTGCAGGGAAGCCCCACAACCTTCGCAGTGTTGACTCATGTCCGTGTTCCAAATCTGCCCGATACCTGGAAGATCTGCTTTGTTTCTCAGTCAGCTCCTCCTTTTCCTTCAGCGGGTCACCACACAGTGCCTCTCTGGCAGGCTCACTTTCAGGCCGACCTCTGAGTCACCGAAAGCAAAGAGGCACGTGACCCCGGCACTGGCTCTGGTCTCGGCAGAGCTCTCACCGGGAACCGGGCACTCCCTGGAACGCCCTGATCTGCCGAGGATGCCCATCACTGGAGGTGCTTAGACTGCCTTCAGTCTGAGCGTATTCTCCCTAACGGCAGGGATGACCAGGCACAGGCGCCTCCCCCCACCGCTGACGGTACTTAGTATAGTATCTACTCATAGAACTATTGTGGGATTTAAATTCAAAAGTATATATAACGTGCTCAGTGACAATAAATGTTAGCATTCTATTACTCAGTTCACAGCAGGTTCGCATGAAGCAGCTGTTGGGAGTCTATTTGACCTGAAGTCTGAAACATATTTCTACTCCACACCATTACTATGTATCTTATGAAAAAGCACCAAGTGACAGAGACTGAGAGGCTCCAATGCTGGACACCTTGATTTGCAGAGGCCATCACAGACATGTAACAAGTCAAATATTGGACCTCACTTGCTCAGGACTGTGGAAACTGCTGGAAAAAATGATGCCTGCAGTGAAAACACAGGTCTCTGTCCAGTCAAATGCTGTAACACCACCGGCCACTCTGACTCAGACTGTCAAGAAAGTGTCCCCCCCCCCCCCCACACACACACACTCCCTCCAGAGTTCTTTAATAATTCATCATTATCCTTGAGCTTCTCCTCGGTAGTCTACAACCCAAGAAGATGATTGATAATCCAAATATCATTTATAATTGACTTGAATCTGCTTCCCCATTCAACAGATTTATCTTCAAATTGATTCCTGGCTAATACAAGTATTGACATCCCTTTGCTTGCCTTTGTCAGGGAAGAACCAAGGCAGAACCGGGGTAAGTCTGGGACACTCCCTATTTTGTTTCTCTGAAGCCTCCACCCCAACATCACATGAGAGGGAACACATGTTCATTTGGAGACAGAAGTGATCCCCAACCTATTACAAGTTTGGGGCTGGGGTGCTTGGGGTACTTGATCTAGTGCATAAGCCCAAGAGTGGTGAGGGCCCTTATGCTCAGTAAGCTGAGCCTGCTCAAACAATCTGTGTGTGGGGAGGGGAACGGGGGTTTGATTTGGGAAGTGTTGAGTGTGTGGTGTGTATGTGGTATGTGTGTATAGTGCGTATGTGTGGTGTGTGTGTATAGTGCGTATGTGTGGTGTGTGTGTATAGTGCGTATGTGTGGTGTGTGTGTATAGTGCGTATGTGTGGTGTGTGTGTATAGTGCGTATGTGTGGTGTGTGTGTATAGTGCGTATGTGTGGTGTGTGGTATATGGTGTGTGTATATGCAGTCTGGGTGTGAGTGGTGTGTGCACGCGTTGATAAGTGTGGTGTGGGTGATGGTATGTGTGTGTGTATGAGACAGAGGTGTTCCATTAAGATCTTCACTGCTCCTAGGCGGATTGCCTTGCAAATGAAATACACATGTACACACACATACAACAAATATTAACCTCGGACAGTGAAAGGCGGTCAAGAAGCAGAGAGCTATCCACAGAACAGAAAGTCCCTTCCAGATGGGGAGATAGGGTGGCTCCCTTGACAGCACCGACTCCTGAGGGCTGAGCAACATTAGGGCTGGGCCGAGAGGGTGCAGGCAGAGAAGATGAGAAGGAGAAACATAACAAAGGGACAGGAACCGAGAAAGAACGGTGTCCATTTGGAGAACAGTGACAAGTTTAGTTGGCTGGAGGATCAGGGGTAGACTTGAGTAGCAAAGAAATGTACCACTTCATCATCTTGTCTCTCCCACAGAGCAAAAAAAAAAAAAAAAAAATTGCTTTAATATTTGAATCCTATATAACCCTCTTCAAAAACGTTCCCCACTACTAAGTATGGCTTCTTGGAGCAAGTGTGAAAGGAGAACCAGGCCCCGGCCTTCGGCCACGAAACAACACTCCCTTTGTCCGCCCCAGTTGCCTCCTCAACCTCCCACGGAGGACAGTTTCCTGCAACCCCTCAGATGGGAAAGCAGGCAGCTGGGCGGCTCACACGAGCACCGGGGCGCTCACACCGACTCACTCAACACCACCGGGCAGGCTCCACTCAGCAGCAGGGCAGCCTGTACCCGTGCAACGGCCTCCAGGTGTCCCTTTGGGCCGACAGAAAATCACAGGGTGTCTCCATCTATTTCTGTCAGAGCGCTGAACAAGGCCACGAAGTCGGCATGGGGCCAAGAGAAGCCCTTTCCCGCATCTCAGGCTGAACAAAAGGCAAGCCCCTCTCCCCAGCCCGCCCGCACCCCGGCAGGCCTTCCCCCGCATGGGGCCCCGGCTCCGGGCTGTGTGAGCTGGGCCCTGTGCACGACCAGCTCAGCACCAGCACTGTCAAGGGTTTCATATTTTTACTGGAAATCCGCCTGAAATGCTCCATCTTCAAAAGCTAATCTTTCCAATTTTGTGCAGGCTTATCTGTTTGTTCCCCTCAATAGAAGGTGATGGAATCACCACTGGATGTCAGAGCAAAAATGGGGGGATTAAAATGAAAAACAGCTTTAAAATGTGACAGCTCTGTCCATTCAGGGAGTTAACATCCCCTTCCAAAAGCCTTTGAACGATCACAATGTGCAATTCCGAATACATAAAATTCCGCCTTTCAGACGGTGCAAACCCCGCAGGGTTTTTTAAATTTAATTGCATTTCAGGGTCCTGGATTTCTTGGTCTCCTACAGTCTCTATGACATTAGCTTGGGGCTCCTCCTTTCCTCTGTTTTCCTCTAAAATATCCCCTACCTTTTCTCCAATCTATAATCACCCCATTGAAATAACCAGATTAAAAATTGGGCGGGGGTGGGGGGCACTAGGAAAGGCCTCCCATCCACCCCCCCTTCCCACTGGAGGCATAAGTATGCGATCTTCAAAAGTCAACACAAAGAAAAGCAAATGGCTGCAATCGACCTTTAAAACTGACGAGGAAGAGGCTGCAGGGTTTGTGCACTGTGAGAGTGCTCTGCATAGAATCCAGGTCCCGCTTGGGTCCCCACGAGTCCCTCTGGGTCCCCCAAACTGCCACAGCCATTATGGGGTTTACACCGTGAAACACCGAGGGCTGAAGATGCTCTCATTTATGAAATGCCTCCAATTTTAGTTGCAAATTGCTGACATACCTCTTTGCCACCACTGCACACCCACCTGTTGTCCCCACGCATAAACACAAATCCAGATTTTACTCTTCAGTCAGGTCTCTCCTTCGATGGCTTACAATTTAAATATCTGACATTTAGCAAACACTTTACACTTTCCAAAAATGAACTAATCCCAAAGCTGAAAAGGTCACTCTTATAACCATTCCCTAAGATTTTGCATCATTTTGTATATTATTTAATAATTTTCCAAACACCTAGAGACTGACTGATACCCTCGTGAGATGCCCTCTCTCTTTCCTATGCCCTATGCCCTATGAAGGTTCAGTCCCCGGCTACTGGAGTGGGTGGGCTTAGAAAACGCAGGACCACGACTCTCACACCTGGAAGGGAAAGGGTCTGCAGCCCAGTAAGAGGCAAGGGGCTGGCACCGGAGCGGGGGACGCCTGGGCCTGTGTGCCACGCTGTGCTGCTGAGGCATGTGAGGCGCAGCGGAGGGAGAGGGGCCAAGGAGGCTCGGTGGCCGGGGCAGTCCTGCTGTCTGGAAGAGGAGACAAACAAACCTGGTGCTTCCTTTCATCTGTGCCGTTTCTGAACCACTTTGTCTCCAGCAAAATGGTGAAAGTGAGTCAACACAGCAGAAATGAGATCCCCGGAGTCCCAGCCCACACTTGAAATCGGTGTGAGCGGAGCATCCGGGCCCTGAGGATTTCAGCTTCGTGCCTTTGAAATCTCCCCTTCAATAGGAATGATTCATAAGCTAAACTGATTCTGCAGCCGCCGTCTCAGTGGTGTTCCCAGGAGGGCACCATAAATGAAAAACCTAAGCTTGAAGGATTAAGGATTCATTTTACCCTGCTGCTTAGAAACTGAATTCCCCCAAACTTCCTCTGTGCAGCTTCTTATAATAACCACGCTTCCCCCTCTCCTCACCTGTCGGGTGGGCCCAGCCGTCTGAAGAAGGATCTGGCCCCGAAGGCCTTCCAGGAGCCCATGGTGGAAAGCAGGGAAGGAAGAGGTGAAGGGGACAATCTGTCTGCAAATGTCCTTGTCCGAAAGACAGCCTAGGGCCACAAAGCTCAGTAGCCAACACCTGAGCCGGGGTCACACCCTCCAGTGCCCAGGTGTGTAGTTAATGAGGAAGGATGCTGAAGAGAGCCGTGGAGCAGTGGTGTACGTGGAGTGGGCTGGAGTAGCCTGGAGAGGCGCGTCCATTCACGTGGTCGACCAGGGCCACCATGGGGTGTGTGTGTGTGTGTGTGTGTGTGTGTGTGTTTATCTTCACCCGAGGACATTTTTCATTTTTTGTTCAGGCAGAGTGGGAGGGAGAGAGAGGAACAGAGAGAGAGAGAAACATCGATGTGAAAGAAACACATCGAGTGGCTGTCACCCGCACCACCAACCAGGGCCAGGGACAAACTGCAACCGAGGTACGTGCCCTTAGTGGGAACCGAACCCGGGTCTCTTTGGACCGCGGGCCGACACTCTAACCGCTGAGCCAAACCGGCCAGGGCGACAGGGTATATTTTAACAGGTATATTTAACAGGGTATATTTAACAGGTACTTTATCAAGCCCCTCCTAGGCGGCAGCCAGACATGTGAATGAAAAGGTGAATAAGACAATGACGATCATCCCTGCTTTAGTGAAGCTTACCCTTAATATTATAGTGAAATTGTACCCAGTGTTGCTATGTCTTCACAATTTTCACCCAAATTTGGACACTTAGAATTGTGTGAAATCATCTCATTTTAAACACTTCCTGAAATTTAATTAAAAATAAATAAATAAACTCTGTGCAGGCTAAACAGAAACATGTCTGTGGACTGAATCTGGTCCACAAGCCAACTTCTTTCATCTCTGACCGTGTGTGTGTGTGTGTGTGTGTGTGTGTGTGTGTGTGTACACCTCCCCAGAGGCCTTCCTTAGGGTAAATGATTTTCATAACAGATTTCTGTTCGATTGGGCTCCAGCCCATAAAGATAATCACACCACTGTTTAGCTTTTTGATGATTAATTTTAAATAAAATGTATTATTATTTTGACAGAGCTATCAACAAAGGATTTTTTAAATACCAAATTCCTAAGATTTTATTACTCACTGCTACTTTAAAACTTCTCAAAGATACAATAAATTGGCCAAACATAAGCTTCTCTGTGGCCCAGTAAGAAGCCACATGCGCCTCTAGCTTCGCAGGAAGCGCCTTCCGTTGGGTCTCGGAGCACAACATCGCAGCACGCGGAAATCTTACCTCCATGGTGTGCGTCTTTCCTGATGATGTCTGTCCATACGCAAAAATCGTCCCATTATAACCTTCGAGGACGTCTGCAAGCAAGAGAAGTAAAATAACATTAACCCATTACTTTGATTGTATGCACAGTTTTAAATTACATTTTCCAAATGGCCCATCTCATTTTTCACACAATTGCTATTTTAACTCCATTTGCGCTTCAAGTAAAATTGTGAGATGAAAGTAGAAATGAGGACCTCCACTGCTCCACAGAGGAGACAAATGGACCCACACCCTACAGCACAGATTAGTAGAGGGAGGCAGAAACACAGTCTCCCTGGAACGTCGAAATTCGAACAGACATCGAGCAGAATAGTACTTTTCTTCTCGTAGAAAGATCCTGGAGTTTTCTTCTCTAAGTAGATCTCTGGGGATCAGTTAGTGGGGGAAATACTATCTGTGCCCAACGTCTCTGGAGTGAGGTGCAGAATAGAGTTTCTTTCCTGAAGATCTGATTTGGGTTGGTTCAACCCCAGCCCAGGAGAGCTCCTTGGGGAGGTTTCTCGCGAAGGCGGAACCAGAGCCCCTTCAGAGGGTGCTAGTCCAGAGCTGGGGGCAGGGCCCCGTCTGTAAACTGAGCCACCAATCAGCCCAGAAACTACCAGGGCTTTGACTCAAAGTCAGTGCCTCTGTTTTTAGTGACTGCTCGAGAGAGCCTGGACCCACCAGCACCGGGATTTCTTTAATGCACAGCGAGCACACTGGGCACACCCCGCACAGAGCTGCCGGCTGCCATGGGGACGGGGAGGGGCTGATGGGGGTGCTTTTCGCTGAAGATTATCTGTGGGGATTCTTTCAAAGCAGCAAAGGTGACTAAAGTAGACTGTGTGCTTATTTCCCTCCACCCTCCTTCAGCCACAAAAACCTCATCGAAAGGGGAATGGTGCATAATTAATACCCTTGACCACTCTCTCTACATGAGGGGAGGAAGTCCTCGTTCCTGGAAGGCCGGTCAGGCAGGGAGAGCCCCACACTGGGCTGTCCTCTTTCAGGGCCGTGGACATATAAAAACAAGAAAGCAAGCCAGGCAATCAGCTCATCTATTTCAGGCCCAGATCAGGTTGGTTAGTTTGGTTGGTTGGTTGGTGGGTCTCTCTAAATTGTATGATGTCAGTAAGTTTTCATTAGATTTCCTAAAAAAGTTTTAATATACATTTTATTGATCTGGGGTTACTGAAGTCTGAACTGAGATCAGAAAAGAAAGCAGGATTTTCCTTTAGGAAGCTAAAAAAGAAAAATTAAGTGGCAGGATTTTTTAGATCCTAGCAGCCCTCAAGAGTTTGCGTCAAGCTATATTGAGAGAGTGTTCACACATATCAGACTTCTGGTAATGGTTTCCCTGGTAACGGATGAAGCAAACACTTGAAGAACATGTAAAGGTTGAAGGTTCAAGATTCGGTTTTCACAAAAATGCCAACTTTCTCGGAGAAAAGATTCCTCAGGCCTGAAAACAGTAGCCAGAGTGAAAAGCCTCTACACGCCTACGAATGCAATATGCTTTGAGGGACCCACGGAAAGAGGTTCCCGGCCTCTGGTTGTGCTTTTTCTTGAGAGTGCATTTATTAAAGCTGGGGACAGTGGAACAGGAAGGGCCTAGGACGGAAGAGGCAACAGGAGAGACTAGGCATGCTCTCTAGAAACATTCCGGGGAAGAAATGAACCTATGCAGGGCTGCGTCAGCTCCCTGGGGCCTTGGAGACAGGTTCAGGGTCAGCTGGGATGAGCTGCCAGTGCCCATTGCTCCCCTGGTTACACATCTCACGGGGTCCCTTAGAGTTTAGGAGATGCACATCTGTGGGGGACGAGAGGACAACGGGAAAGGCGCAGGCAAGCTCCTGGGAGGGAGAGTGTGCCCCTTTGGTTGCACTTTTAAAATTCTACATTCATGGGACAAACAACTCCAGCCAATTGGAATTCTAGCCACAATCACAGCACTAAAGCTCCTATTTACTAGAAATTAAACTTCCCCCCAAACCGAAAGGGCTTCCTTACCTAAGCCCTGTGCAGGAAGAACTCTGGGACCCACTAGCCCCGGCAGAACAGAGCTAAGGAAGCCAAGGCCAAGGGTCCGGCTCCCTCTGCTCCTTGTCACGGGCCACTGGCCACCCTACAAGGGCTCATGTGCACAGGAGGTGGCTCGGAGCTACATGCCACACCCTAGAGAAAACCCAGCTCAGAGCCGAAGCCCTGCGGACAGAGAAAACTCGCTGGGGCTTCTTCCTCTGCCAAACGCTACAAGACCTCCCTGGAGCGCCAGGCCAGTCCGTCTCCGAACCCAGCCTCACCCTCAGCGGAACGCACGGTCCTACTGACTCCTAGTTAGTGGCCGCTCACTGACCGCCAGCGGGTTAAGGGCTGGGACGCAAACATGAACTTGTGGAGGAGGAGCTGAGGAGCAGGTGGGACTATCTACTTAGAGAATCCCTGGTTGCTGACGCTGCTATTTCAACACTGAGCACAATTACTTCCATTTTTTTAGGAAAAAGAGAACAGACAAAACCCCATTAGAACAAACTGCACTTGGCCTTTGAAGTCTTTACAAGCACGTCACAATTCACTCAGTGTTGAAGAAACTATCCCCAGGGTTCAAGGTTGAACGGAGCTGATGGTGGCCCTGTATCAGTTCAATCCTGAATTAGAAGGTAATTTAAAAAGAAAAGAAAAAGCTCTCTGAACCCAGTGTTCTCTATTTTCTCCCAAATTCCAGTTGTTTTGGGGGGGTATTGTTTTCGGGTGACTGGCGGAGAGGAGGCGGGCGGGGTTGGTGCAGCACAGCCAGTGCTTCTGGGGACAGACGGCTGGGGCACAGGGGGCGGCGGGCGGAGCCCACCGAACCGAACCGCCCCAGGGAAGGAAGAGCGAGCAGGACTGTGCTCAGGGCCACACCCAGCACACGGCGCCCCAGCCCGCTCGCGGGGACGGTCCCAGAAAGGCACTTCCGTCATGCCAAGTGACAGTTCCCGGGCCCCAGGAAGGCATGCTTCGGTCTCTGCCGTACAAAAGGACATTTCTGTGTGCCAGCCGCAGCGCCGGGACCCGCTCAGCCAGGCAGAACCTCCTTGCCACGGCGTCTGGCGCCTGTGATCACGGCGCACCCGTCGGCAGCACCCCGCACGCGGCAGCCGCCCATCGAGCGCCCAGCGGAGCCCCGGGGTTCCACCGCGGGCGGGAAGGGCCTTCTCTCCCGGAGGAGGCCGGAGGGAGTGGGATACATGAAAATACTTTGTGCCTCGTGCTGCAGCTTCCGAAGCCAAGTTTTCTGTCCCAGGTCTTGCTGGAGCAGAAGAGTCCCTTCGATTGTCAGGTGAGAATTCGGGGAGAACATAATCATGCGCACACGTCACTGTTGCTGAGGAGGCTGCTGTGACCTTCCAGCGGCTTTCGGGGAACAGCCTGCCAGCACCAGGGTCTCTGCAGCAGTGGCTGACCAGTCACCCCTGGCTTGGAAACCTAAGGCTCTCGCCAGTTAACCAAAGGACACAAGAAGGCCATATGGGGAGAATGCAGAGGCAGCCCTGCCAAACACCAGGGCCAATCCGAATGCTGGGCTAACCAGCCAGCCTGGAGGGCCGCCAGGTGCTCACCGGGGGGCCTGCGGCACCTGCAGAACTGAACTGCATCTCATTATTGGCAGACAGCCAGGGCCACCCTGAGGCTCCAGGACTGCAACCTCGCCTCCCTCTCCTCTTTCCTCCTCCCACCCCATTCCTGCCCCGTCTTACTGCGGAGCTCGCTTAACGTCCATGTGGCTGACAGAAAGGAACAGCTCATAAAGTAACTGTTATTAAATGCTCACTGGCCCTGGCCGGGTACTTCAGCTGGTTAGAGCATCATCCAGATACACCAAGGCTGTGGGTTCGATCCCAGGTGAGAGCACACACAAGAATTAACCAGTGAATGCATAGATAAGTGGAACAAATCATTGTTTCTCTCTCTCTCTCTCTAAATCAATCAATAAATATAATATTAAATGCCCATATAGGCCCATCAGAAACGTGGGAGGAAGACAATGCAGAAAAATCCAAGTCAGTCAGATAAACACAGGCTCCAATCCCAGCCTCACTCCCCCTAACTGACCTGGATGAATTGCTTCACCTCAATTCCTCTTTGGTACAATGAGAAAAGCAATGTTCACGCCCCACACAGCTGTTAAGATTTAAAGCACAATAACATATGGCCCTGGCTGATTTGGCTCAGCGGTTGGAGTGTCGGCCTGCGGACTGACTGCCAGCGGGTTAAGAGTCTCAGGTTTGATTCCGGTCAAGGGCACACACGTACCTCCAGTTTCAGTTTGGTCTCCGGCCCCGGTTAGGGTCCTGCGGGAGGCAACCAATCAATGTGTCTCTCTCACATCGATGTTTCTCTCTCTGTCTCTCTCTCTCTCTCCCCCTCCCTCCCTCCCACTCTATCTAAAGACAAATGGAAAAATATCCTGGGGTGAGGATTTAAAATTTAAAAAGTACAATAACATATGTAAAGTGCATAGAAGGTGCCTAATAGATAATAGTAGAGAAGTAAATATATTTCTCCTTAAGTCACATAATATAACATAATGATAAAATAGATCATATTCTTCAATGGGTCTTCATTGTCTATAGGATAAAGCCCATCAGTTGCCACCAAACTCTGATCCAACCTCACTTGTTAAGTCTCATGCCCCACGCACCCTGTTCCACTCTAAGTTGCCCACACACCATATAACGTGTCTTCCTGCTTTTGCAATTCCTTCTGCTTCACAGCTGTTCTCCAGTCCTTGAGACCCAACCTTTCCAAGAAGCCTTCCTTAATTCTCCAATTCCCTTCCACACCCACCAAAATCAGTATCCAGTGACTTTCTTCTGTGCTCCCAAAGCATTTTGCACACACACACACACCTTCTAATAACCACGTGTATAATTATGGATGCATCTGTCTGTTTGCTTATACTCAAAAATTCTTGCAGAGTCTTATATATCTTGGTGACTCCAGACCTTAGCAGTGCTTATACCACATAGTAAATACTTAATGCACCTGCATAAGGAATGAATGGAAGAAACAACCAAATAAATGAAGTTCATAGAAATTAGATCTGGAAAACAAGAGAACCACCTTCTCTAGTACCTAGTTAATGTGGAAGGTAAAGGCCCAGAGTGACTTTTGTATCTGGGATGCAGTTATTCTACTTCAACAAGGGCATCTAGTAACCATGGTTTCCAATTCCTCGGTGTCTACAGGAACCTCCCCATTTAGCATGCTGGTTGTCACCAACCCTACAGCCTCTTCAGGAAGAAATGGAGGAGAATTCCACGTATTCTCTCAGACAACATTTTGAAAAACACACACCAGACAAAGATGAGAGTGTGGGAGATGCCAGGACTCTACAGTCAAATGTTTAAACCTTTAAAACAAAAACCAGCGAAGTTGAAGGGAATGAAAAAACCGAGAGAAAATAAAGGTGCCAGTGAAAAGGAGTTTTCCTGATCTCAAAAGCATTAAGGGTTTAGAGTTGAAAAGACAGCTCACCAGCCCACCACCTTATTGGATCATGGAGACTATGGTGACTTCATGAGTCATCTGATTCCATTCTTGGCCCCTAGAAAAGAGGCCCCCCACAGCACCACCTCCCATTCCTGACTTAAAACAGGGCTTGTCGTGGCAAGAGATGTCTCAGTTGTACCTGGTATCTATCCCAAGGAGTTCTTTCCTATTATCTATGTTTGACCTCACTGGTGCAGAAATATATGGCCACTTCCGCTCCCACTAGCCCCAGAGGATATTAAAAAAAATTAAATCAGGTCTTCCTCTTCTTAATTTCCTTTCAAGGGAGACTAAGGTACTTGTTATTGTTACAAAATGACTATGTTCATGTAATATTTAAGGTACCTTAAAAATGTGTTTATTATATCATACCAGAGCCTAATTTTATTCTAAATATGTTTTCTTTGTGGCTGTCCATATACTGGGTCTCAAATTACCTGTAGTTAGGTCACATCTTCATGGGGGCTCCCCAAGGACAACCTGTTTCTAACCCTTCATACTGTAGGAAAATCCAAACACTGAAAGGGACACAAACTTCTCTAGTAAATAAAGACTCAACGATTATTATTATTGTTTGTTAATCACAGGATTTCTTTTAAATGGAGTTTCTCCATCTCTAATTCTAATGTCCACTTAGAAGGGTGGGGTGTATTTAGATGGCCCTCATGCATAGTACAGCATGTGGTCAATGCTATTTGGTTCTGATAATGAAGGAGGAGAGAAAAAGGTGATTCTGGCTCTGTGATTAAACTCACTTTAATAAAAATATGAACCACTCTGATAACCGAGAGGAAGGAGGACTGACTAGGAGCCAACTAGAACTACATGCTCCAAAGAGAGAAAAAACATGTTTAGATGAAAAGAGAAGCTGAAGAGTAGACAAAAATTACCACTCGTTACAGGCCCATATTATTAACTCAAAAACAGCTCAAATTCAGGCATATTTTTTCCTTTTAGTTTTCTATAACAAACTTGCTGTGAAGACCTTCAAAATTAGTTGATGTCTGCAACAAGAACATGAATAACCATATACCTCAGCAGGGAACATTACATACTGACAGGCTCCCACGCAGGTATCCAGGGTCAGAATTAATCTAACAGATGTACCCAGGGCTGATTTTCATGAATTTCAAAGTGTTACGTTAGTCATCTCAGCTTCTAAAAATAAGTAGGTCTAACATGACAAGGTGTTTTTCAAATTGTGTTTTTATTTTTTGCTCTTTAAATTCAGAGCTACCTATAAAGGTGGCAGTATCAAGACATTTGAAAGCACAGTTGCCAAAGCATTCCAATGTGAAAGCAAGGATTTCATGATGAAAAGCCAAGGAGCAGGAGATGCCCCTCAGCTCCGGGCAGATGGCGAGCTCCGCAAGGCAAGCTCCCGCCTGCCCCTGACTTGGAGGGCGAAGGAGGGCGGCTGGTAAATTGCTTCATCTCCCTGCTGCTATTGTGACACAAATCATTGGGGCCAAGGCCAGTCTCAGAGACAAGGACAGATATCCAAGACACGGATTTAGGCTTCAGGCTACCTATCTGAAGGAACAAACGCTGGGATCTGCGCGGGGTGGCTGGAAGTGGGTTGGATGAAAGTATCATTGAGGAATGCTGAGTAGCATAAACAGCTCCAAAGCCAGCGAGGTAATGTGATTTTATGATGCTGTAGACAATTCCTTGATGCTCAAGAATTTTCCACATTTAAGGCTTCTTTCTTAAGAGACAGACGCACAAAATAAATCAACCAAAAATATACAATCAGAGCATCAGGAATATATATTTTTCTTTTTTTTTTTTTTTATCCTCACCCGAGGACATTTTTCCATTTTTTGTTCAGACAGAGTGGGAGGGAGAGAGAGGAAGAGAGAGAGAGAGAAACATCGACGTGAAAGAGACACATCAAGTGGCTGCCACCCACACGACCAACCAGGGCCAGGGACGAACTGCAACCGAGGTACGTGCCCTTAGCGGGAACCGAACCCGGGTCTCTCAGGACCACAGGCCGATGCTCTAACCGCTGAGCCAAAATGGCCAGGGCTATATTTTTCTTCTTAAAAGGAAAAAAAAGTTCCTATACCTGCAACGGCATTTTAAAACTATTACAGGAAAAGTGTGATCATAGCTTACCTGCTTCGAAGCTTCTGGATGATAAAACAGCTCTGCCAAAAAGATGGCAAAAGAAATAAAAAGTCTCCTTGGAAAGGCAGTACAGAGGGGCTGAACAACTGGCACGACATCCCTGCAAATCAGGGCCAGGCCTCGAGCCGTGATCCAGTGTTTCCAATTAGCAGGCCTCTGCTCACAGTCAAAGCACATTGATTCTTAAGCTGCAAATATCACTTAATGTTTTCAATTACTCTGAAAGGCCCAGGAGGAAATAAAGAAACAGCGCTTACCTTTGACGATCTGCTTTGCACACGCACTGTAAACCTGCTCCTGGGTCGTGCTGGGAGGCAGCACTCTGTCGAAGACATATGGCTTCCCTTGCTAAAAAGACAAAAGAAAAAGAAAAAAGGGGCAAAGAAAACACATTAAAAGTTTAGGAATAAAAAGCACTAATATTAATATAGAAAACAGGCACTAACTCGCCGATCCTATTCTTTAAGGTAGTTTTTCAGCAAGACGAGGGAACTTTTACAGCCTGAACCATACATACCTTATGTTTATATGTGTTATATATCAAGAATCTGACAGAAGAAAGAAAAGCGTGGTGTTTTGTTTTGTTTTTTACTTGAAATACTTTTCCTGATGAAAAGTAGGCTGACGTGTCATTCACTCACTGGAACTACTACGGGTTCACTGAGAGCTTCCTCGGGGCCAGGAGCTAGGCTGAGGCTGCCCAGAAAACAGCCTGCCCGTGTGAAGCGCTCAGTCAAGTGTGGCAGGTACCTAATAACCAGGAAAGCAGACAGGAGAGGGCACTGTGCCTGAGCACGGGACAGAGGATGGCAGAGGCCACAGACAGGATCAGAAAGTCGGTGCCACGTGAAGCGCTGTGGAAGAACATTCCAGACAGAAGGCGGAGCAGACAGGAGGGCCTGGTGTGCTCAAGGAACGGGAGGGGCCGGTGCATGCCGGGCACTGCGAGCCAAGGTGACATACTTGGCTTTTACTCAATAGGAAGGTGACGTGACCAGATCTAAGAAGCTGCTCTTCTGAGCAAGATATTATTGCTTTGTGTCCCAAAGAATTCTAGTGTTTTCTTCACATCGTAAGTGGTGCCTTAACTGGGTCAAGGCTTCGGCGACAAAAGAAGCCCTTCCTTATGGTTAATCGGGTGACCTCCCAGGTGTAGGGTCTTGGGATTTGGGTTGACTCTGGACGTGTAGGATTCAAGGAGGCCGCTGGGAGAAGGGAGGGAGCAGCACCGCATGGCACTGCCCGAGCCCTGCCGCCCAGCCCTCTAGAGGAGGTTCTAGGGGACATTCCAGAGCAGGCACTCGGGAAGGGGCGGTGAGACAGACTGGCCTCTGCCTGGGAGAACCCCGATGCTGCCCACAGCCAGATCCACCCAGGCAGCCCTTCACCTTTATTGTCCCCAAGTGGGAGAGGGGAGGGCAGGAGAAGACAAGGGAGAAAAGATGAGCGCCCAGAGCCACCCTTATCTGGGATGTTCCCCCTCTGTGCTTCACCTCCTGTGCCTCACCCCCACCCGTGCCTCCGACACTAGACACCACCCAAGGACAGTGTGACACCTCAAAAAAATTAACTGCTCATGAGGGACCCAGGGACAAGGCTAGTTACAGCCTGCAGCCGGCACACGGAGTAAGCACCCAGCTGTCAGACGGCTCAGCCTCTCACGCATGTGAGCAGGGCAGGCGAGGACTGTGCTCCAGGTGCTGTGCCTGAGCTGTAGCCTTAAAAGCGGGTTGAGCCAACCAGGTAAAAAAGCGACCTCCACTTTGAGGTAACTTATTTCAAACTGGAGAAAATAAAATGGAGAATTTCAAGGTACCATAAAATTTTGTTTATATACAAAGCAGCAGGAGTTATTCTGTTAAAATTATGGAAAGGGATCATTTTCTGGTATTTTGTTCCCAGCGAGTCTCATTCAATTAACGAACCCAGTATTCGGTTGAATAACCAAGAGACTATTCCTCACCACGATCTATTGCCAACAATCAGCCCACTACACGCGTATTAGCTTATCTATTTGTAAAATTCAGCGAAATGTCAGCAGGGTAGAAGGTGAAAATAAAGCATTCACACAGTTTGCCTAAGTATTTGTCATCCATTGAACCTTCTGGAAAGAAAATACGGCTTTGCTTAATTTAAAAGAAATCCACTATTTCTCCAAACTTGATTAGAATCAGCAAATAAACCATCTTGTTTACAGCATGACCTTGCTTTAGGTTTTGGAGAAAACACACTTAATACAGCAGGGAAAACGACCTATTACACTACAGTATATGGCACAAAAAGATAGGACTCCCTAATATTACCCTTAGATTTAAAATGTTTATTGGCATGTATTATACTTTCACTTTGAGAGAGGTAGAAGGTAAGACATCTCTACTCATTTAAATGTCATTACCACGTGACAAACAGATAATACAACAATCTTCCATCAGCTGAAATTAACTCCTGACAAAAGCTGCCTTCAAGAAAAGATAAAATTTAGAAAATGGTTTGTTATGAGACTTATCTTGCCAGGATTAGCACATGAAGTAGTTAAAAATAGGAGCATTTTTATTGTCCTTTCGTGCATGCACCAAGTTGGCTCCATGTTTTTATTTTAGAGGAACCTTAAAATCTTGGAATTAGAATTTGGAGAACGATTATTTTCAAAGAACTGATTCGTGGCCCAGCTGTGCCCGCTGCATGTACAACTGCCACTAAACAACCACCACCACCACCGATTCCTCTTTGCTGCTTTGCTAATGGTGTCAAGTCTCACACACCCTGGCCCATGAGACGCCACGTCTGAGGCACTGTGGCTGAGGGCTGCTGCGGGCAGGTGTTCGGCTCCCTCGCTCTGGTTATCACTACGTTTATAGCTACGGAATCAACTTTGAAATTACATCTGAAAACGAGCCCTGGGTGCCAACTCTGGACACCGAATGACAAGACACTCGCCCTTCCGGCCTCCTCTGCAGCACAGGGTTCTCTCCGACCTCTCTGGCTACTCCCTACCACAGCCTTTGTTGGTGTCTCCTCCACACTTCTAACTCATGATGTGTCCTGCACCCAGACCTCAGTCTCCTCTCCGTCTACACTCTTGGCCCTCACATGATTTCAATGAACATTTCAGCCCTTATATTCATCTAAGCTCCAGATTCACGCACTCGTTGCCTGCCGGACATTTTTCACTTGGACCTCTGTTAGCCATCTCAAACTTTAAAACAACCAGCAAGCCCTCCATATCTGAGTAAGAACTACACCATCCCTGACCCAGTTACTCAGATGAAAATCATTTGGTATGTTCCATAGATCCTATATCTAAAATATATCCCAAATTCTAGCACACCTCACCATCTATACCATACACCCTTCGTCCAAGCCACCGTGGTTTCTCATCTGGACAATGGCTGTAGCCTCCTCACTGGTCTTACTGCTCCTTTCTTGCTCCTAACAATCCAATTTCCACTGAGTGGTCAGAATGAGCTTTTTGCCCAGCAGGTCTGGCTCAGTGGTTGAGCATTGTTCCATGTACAAGAGGTGGCAGGTTCGATTCCCGGTCAGGACACATGCCCCAGTTGTGGGCTCAATCCCCAGTGGGGGCGTGCAAGAGGCAGCCAATCGATGTTCTCTCTCATCAATGTTTCCATCTCTCCCTCTCTCCCTCTCCCTTCCTTTCTCTCTAAAAGTCAATAAAGCCCTGGCTGGTTTGGTTCAGCGGTTAGAGCGTCAGCCCACGGACCAGAGAGAACTGGATTCAGTTCCCACTAAGGGCACGTACCTTGGTTGCGGTTTGTCCCCGGCCCCTGTTGGGGTTGTGTGGGTGGCAACCAGTCGGTGTGTCTCTCTCACATTGATGTTTCTCTCTCTCTCTCTTTCTCCCTCTCTCCCTCCCGCTCTGTCTGAAGACAAATGCAAAAAAAAAAAAAGGTCCTCAGGTGAGGATAAAATAAATAAAAGTCAATAAAAATATATTTAGAACAAATTTTTTTGTAAACCAGTGGCTCCTATTATATTAGACCCTCGTCCCCCTCAGCTCCCTGCATGTTCCTCCACCTCACGACAGGGGAGCCCCCTGGACCTGCCTGGACCATGCCTCTTCCTCGGTTCAGAGACCCTGCTCTGAACTATTCCCTCCCTCGGAATTCTCACCACTGCTCTTCACTTGGCTGCTCTTTACCATCCTTCAGATGTCAATGCCACTTTCTCTTCTTTTCTTTTTCTTCTGCAGGCCTCTGTGATCCTGCCTAGAGCACCCCACCCCACCCCGCATCACTCTCCATCGCATTACCCCACTTGGTTTGCTCCATAGCAATTAGTATGTGACCTATTCCCAACCAATCAAACGAACCACTACAATTAAAGCCTTTGACCAGCGAAGACAAGCCACATAAATCCCAAGACCTGATTACATGTAGGCAAACCTGCTAATTTATGAAGGAACTCGGCAGGCACAGACTCCACACACATCACAGCTGAAGTGCAGTGACCAGCTTTGCAGGGAAGCCTCGTGTGGAACAGTGCTGACCGCATGGGAGCGGAGCGACTAAATTACTACCCACAAACAAAACGTGACAGCAGATGACTCTTACATTTTTATAGTTAAAATTAAAAAAACAAATCAAAGCACCAGAATTCCTATCAGGTTGTTGAGAGCAAACTGTCTGTGAACTGTATGGCTTGTCTATTAATACATCTGACCTGTTATCCAACGACGGCTCCCCAGCCAGGAAGGAATACCACTCTGGAGACAGAGGAAAGCAGAAGACGCACTAAAAGGTTCAGAAGACGGGCACCAGGAGGGATGTTAAGGAAACTGAAAGTAATTATCATCAAGAAGTAATCTAATAACAATCTCTAAGACCAACCAAAGGTTGCGGCCAAAGGTGGCCAATGATTTAAGTGACTTTTCTTCTATCTTTATTAAGAAAGAAAGAAACAGAAAAAAAGAGACTTCGATTTCCACAGCAAGATTTAAACCCACCCTGTGGAATCATCTTTAGACACTTCGGAGTATTAGGAAGAGGAACTGATCCCTGAGAACGATCACTAACCCTCCGGCCCAGGTATTTGCGGGACTTCGTTCCTGAAAGCACGGGGTAAAGGTCCCTCGGCGACGCTGACCACCAACCGTCCCCTGACACCGTCACCAGCCACTGTGGGCCCAAACCCTTTTGTTCTTTATCTCGTTTAATTTTCACAGTTACTCTGTCACATTAGCAGCTCTATTACTTTGGGGAAATAACTTGAAGGCCCTGGTTTCAAGTGTTCTTTCTTTAAACTGTGCTGTTTTCCTAAGTAGCTTATGATTTATTGGCAAAGTAGGAGACATACAAAACAGCAGATGCTAAGACTAAGAAAAGATTGAA